TCATTGATTTCGATTAAATCAATCTTTGAAATTGACTCTTTGCTTTCCATTTGATGACCGGCTGAGATTTTGGCACTGTCAGTAGTGCAATCGTACATCTGTCTTTCAAGCTGTAAATTGATTTCGAATTGGTGGTAGGTTGCCTCCAATCTATAGCATAATCAAATTCAAAATTTACTGAAATGAAGGTACGCGTTTTTTTAAATTGAAAAAGAATAAAACTATGCGTACCGTTCCTTTGACGTTTTCAAAAAGTAGTTCTTAAAATTCGGATCAAATGACAGACCATTGCACTTGAAGGCCATACTTATCTTGCCCAAAGTATGGAAGGCCTGGCGATCGAATGCAACGAGCATTTGGTTCATTTCGTTTCTCCAGTCCATTGTTGTTGTCACATTCATCTAATTTAGAAAGAAAACAACAAGTCTCAAAAGATCAAATAAATGTTTTGTTCAAATTAAGAGATGAATCATTTTTCAAATTTTGGTTAGCATGAATCAGAATTTGGCCACGTGGTCAATGTTCTAGAACAAATTATTTTTAAGGTTAAGAATTTTACCATATCAGACGCTATCCTGATATTTCGATAACATTGATTTTTTATTTCAACAGACACACACATAAACAAATGGAATACTAGTTCCTTAAATTAAGAGTTTTTTCGTCTACAATTTAAATCTTACCTTAATAAAGTCACGATAAATCTGGATATATTGTATCGCTTGTTGTTGCTGTTCTGATCTGGTTTTACGGTGCAAGCTTTATGGTGGAGAGCTAAATTGGCTTTTAATTTGGTAACAAAGTGCAATTTTCACGATTTCTATGCTTGAGTTTTATTGGTGACGAATATTAATGAAATTTATTGTAATTAAGCAAGATCAAAATGAAAACACGTATTGTACATGCTAAGCGTACTTTGCGCAAATGAAGTAATGACAATATAATATCCTAAGCTGTCAAAATGGTTCTCGCCTCATTTAAATCGCTTTGCAGCGAATTTAGTTCAAAAATTGATTTTTCAGAACATTGAATTCCGTTGAATTCATAAATAAGACTATTTATGAGAATTAAGCTCAACAATGGTGATATATATCTATTGAAAATATCGAGAGGAGAGTATGTTTTAATTCAGACATTACTCAGCCATAAGTGCTGAATAACGTACTCTCTTCTCTATATATTCAATAGATAAGAAATGGTTCAATTCTTTAATGATTTGAAAATTAGATTCGACCAGCTTTTTTAAATTCATACAATTAATGAATAAAAAAAAAATTTCCTTATTAAATAAATTCGTCATTTATTGGAATTGATGATTTTACATGAATATTCAAGTGGGTGGTTTCAGAAAAATCTTAGATAATATGAAGATCGAACATGCGTCGAAATAGAATTTAATTAAATCAATTAGGAAAATTGAAATTATTCTAAATCATTTGGATTAAACAATTTTTGAATAAGTGAAATGTCTTGATAGAACATAAACCATAATTTTAACGCTGTAACCTGGCATGCATGAATTTAAACGGTTATATTTGCATAATGCAGTGAATTAAATTATTGTTGGTGCATGTATGTTATAGAAGCCAGTACACAATTTTACTTAAATTTAGTTTACTCGCATATTGTTTCAATTATTTGAAAGCTGGAGTTTACTATTTTTAAAAACACGCCAAATTGGCGACGTCAATAATTGACACAAGTGGAGACAGATGTGATCATTCAATGGTTGATTCTGGTGTGGATGTTGTCCAAATGTCTTTTCAAATCATGTTTTCTTTTAAAGCACTTCATACAAATTTCGCATCGAAACGGTTTTTCACCGTTGTGCGTTCGCATATGCCTTTTCAACTGAGTTATACCCACAGTGACAAATTTCTTGCAGATATGGCATTCATATCGACGATATTTGCACACTTTTTCATGGACTTTTTGGTCGGTCTTCTGGGAAAATCCACTGAAACAACCTCGGCAATGGAA